CTTGGGGAGGGTGGTAGGGAGGAAAGGGGAGAAAATTTTTAAACTCAAAAGCCTATGGAAGTGATTGTTGATAAATAAAAATAAACTAATAAAAAAATTAAAAAAAAAAAAAGAAAAGAATCCCCAGGGAGTACGTTGGTAGTAAAGCTGATGTTCATGAGTATCCCAGAGACAGACCCATTCCCCTGCTGCCCAGGACCTAGGTGTAATTACATCCTGTAGTGCAGAGAAAGAACACTGCCCTTGTGGCCAGAAAACTGATGTTTCAGACCAACTCTGCACTTAATAGCTGTGTGACCCTGGGCAGAGTGATTGCTCCTCTTCAGGCCCCTGTTCTGTCACCCGTGCAACAGGGACAATCATCCATGCCCTGCTTTCCCCACGAGAGCAGCAATGTTGATGGGCAGAGAGACCCCCACTGAAGAAATGTGAGCTGTGAGCCTCGTTACCTCCTTCCTCTTCTTGCCAGTACTGAGCATCTGTGTAAAACACGAGCCCAGAGCCTCCCTTCTCCCACTTGAGCTCAATCTCCTCCTCGAAGAGCCGCTCGGCCGTGCGCTCCTGGCCCGTCACATCCTCGTGCAAAGCCTCATGCCGCTCCCACTCCTCACAAGTGTCATTGTCCTGCAAAGGACAGTAGGGGTGAAGGGGAGAGGGAAAACAGGCCAAGGCCACGAAAGGCTGGCTCTACATCCCTCCTGATGCCATACTACCTGAGGGAGACAGCATAATAAAGCAGAAGGAATGATGGCCTCAGAATGAAAAGATCTGGGTTCAAATCCTGGTCCTGACATTAATAGCTATGTTACTTTGTTGTTATTATTCAGTCGTGTCTGACTCTAGTGACCCCATTTGGGGTTTTCCTGGCAAAGATCCTAAAGTGGTTTGCCATTTTCTTCTGCAGCTCATTTTACAGATGAGGAAACTGAGGCAAACAGGGTGAAGTAACTTGCCCAGGGTCACACAGCTAGTAAGTGTCTGAGGCCAGATTTGAATTCAGGTCTTTCTGACTCCAGACCCAGTGCTCTACCAACTGCAGCACTATCTAGCTGCCTTCACATTACCTTAGATAAGTCATTTACTCAGCCTCAAGTTTCCTTCTCTATCAAGTGGAGACAATAGCATTTACACTACCTACCTTGCAGGGTTATTGTGAAGAGTACACTTTGTAAACCTCATAATGCTATAGATATATGAACTATCATCATCATCATTATTATTATTGATTCATCTTTATCTCCCACTGCTCTGAAATAGAAATCCCCCATTTCAGCCAGGCTGGCCCTGTGCTGTTCCCTACACATACCAGTCTCATTTTCACCTCCAGGTCTTTGCTCAGACTATTTATTTATTGCCTTTCTCCCTCCCCTTACCTAATTCTTCCCCATCCTTTTTGATCATACTCACACCTGACATTTACATAGTACCTCAAAGTTTGCAATGTGCTTCCTACACAGTCTCTCCTTTGAGAGGCTTTTCAAGACACCAGCAGCCTCACCTTCTCCAAGCTGAAGCCTCCCTTCACCAATCACCTCAGCCTACACTCGACTCTCCCTGACTTGCTTGTACCCAAACTCACTACCACTACAGTAGCAATATCAGTCCAAGCACAGGGCCAGCTGTTTGCCCAAATCAGGCTTGGGGCATATGTGACTGCTGTCTTCAAGGATTTAGAGGGTTGTTATCATGCAGAAGAGGGATCGGCCTGGTGCTGCTTGACCCGAGGGGGTAGATCTAGGAGGAATGGGTGAAGGCTGTTAGGAGGCAGAGTTAGGTTTGATGTCAGGGAAAGCCTCCCCACAATCAGAACTCCTCTCAAAGGGAGATGAACTACCTCTGGGAGCAGAAAGTTCCCAGTCACTGGAGTCTTCCAGCAGAAGGTGATGACTTCTCACTGGGAATGGTTCCACTATCCCAGAAGCTCCCCTGCTTCCAGCTCTATGACATAAATATGAATTAACCATGTACCAATTGATGGTGTCTTATAATGAGTGGTTTTGTTTTGTTTTTTTAGCATTTACCTATACTTATTTTCCTTTCGAGGCCATTTCTGAAGACAGGTTCAGACAAGTACAATAACTGGTATCTGCTTCCCATGTGCTGGTTCTGTCTCATCAGGCAGACCAGAATTCATGGTTCTTTTACTTTTTTCCTGAGTCAGCCAATTAAAATCAGTTTCCTTTTACCCTCATCATGGAAAAGTAAAGTATGGTGGTGAAGTCAGGAATCTTGATAGTGTGATCTAGAAGAAAGAGGGGTAGACTAGCGAGTCAGGAGAGCTGGTTTCCAATCTCTAATCATCTGTAACATTTATAAGCTGGGTGACAAGAGAAACCTCACAACCTCTTAGACACTAAGTTTCTTCATTAGTAATATGGGACTAGGTGGCACAGTAGGTAGAGTGCTGGGCCTGGAGTCAGGAAAACGCATCTTGAGTTCAAATCCAGCCTCAGACACTTACTAGTCCTGTGACCATAGGCAAGTCACTTTCTGTACCTTAGGTCTGCCTCAGTTTCCTCATCTATAAAATGAGTTGCAGAAGGAGATGGCAAACCACCCCCAAGAAAACCTCAAAACACAGTCAGAAAGAGTTGGACACGACTGAAAAACTGAACAACAATATTGTAGTATATACTTCAGAGGACTGTTGGAAGACTCATATCTTAAAACTGCTATGTGCATATCAGTTATTATTATCATTATTTCCACTAGAAATCCATAACTATGATAGACTGGGCAACTTGTTATAGTGGAAAAAGCTCCAGAGAATTAAGGGGAATATTTATGCTTGTACTGCTGAACTCCAGGACAGCTGTGAGGATCAAATCAGATAACCACTTTGTAAAGTGTCTGGGGCTACATACATCAAAATACTCGCACTGACAACAGTAACTAATAATAATTGCCTGGGCCTCTTGGTGTGGTCAGTGAGGACATGACGATGTCATTGGACTCACGTCGTCTGAATGAGACTCTTCCTCTTCGTCTTCCTTTGGCCCTCCTTGGGTCCCGGCTGTGATGGGGGTGGGACAGGCTCCTTGAGGGGCTGCTGGGATCTCCTCTCCTTGGGCTGTGTACACCAGCTCTTCCTGCTCCACAGTCTCTGTGTCTTCATACTCAAAGGGCACGCTGCCATATCGCCGGGAGGAGCCCGTCTTGGGGAACTGTAGCTGCAGTTGGGTAATGATGCGGGGGGGCAGACGACAGGCTCGGATCAGCTCTAAGAAGACACGCATTGGGGTCCCCACGTTCCCATTGGGCATCAAGGCTGGAGGGTTTAGTTCCGGCAGCTGCTTAAGGTCAGCCAGGGTGAAGACTTCACTGATGGCCCTCCTATTATGCAGCTCCTTCCGGGTTTTGAAGGGAAATGGATTGACACCTTAGAAAAATATAAGAAAAAACCTTGAGGGGCGGCTACGTGGCGAGGTGGATAAGAGCACCAGCCCTGGAGTCAGGAGGACCTGAGTTCAAATCCGGCCTCAGACACATAACACTCACTAGCTGTGTGACTCTGGGCAAGTCACTTAACCCCAATTGCCTCCCCAAAAGAAAAAGAAAAAACCTTGAAACAGAAGGTGCACCAGTAATCATGTATAGACATGAGGACAGAATTAGCTCCCACCTGCACAGTTCTGAGTTCATAGGTTGCTTTTGAACCCCTTGGCCAGATCTTCTGTACCTAGGCAAGTTGGTGGGCTGGTTATCTGTGAAACCTGGATAGTCTACTAGCACCATGCCAGGAAATTGAACCGCTTCCATTTGAACTGTCTTAGGAAGATTCTGAAGGTCACCTGGCAAAATAAGGGACTGGACACTGAGGTCCTTTCTTGAGCTGAACTGCCAGACATTCAAACTCTGCTGCAGAGAGCTCAACTCCAATGGGCTGGCCATGTTGTTCAAATGCCAAATATCAGGAGGACTTGAGTTCAAATCTGGCCTCAGACACATAACACTTACTAGCTATGTGACCCCGGGCAAGTCACTTAACCCCATTGCCTAGCCAAAAAAAAAAAAAAAAATCCATTCAAATGCCAAATGTATGTTTGCCTAAAACACTATTTTATGGAGAACTCACACAAGGCAAGTACTCACACAGAGGTCAAAAGAAACAGTGCAAGGACACTCTCAAAGTCTCTCTGAAGAACTTTGAATCAATTGTGAGACATGGGAGACACTGGCCCAGGACTGCCTAGCATGGTGTGCCCACATCAGAGAAGGTGCTGTGCTCTACGGGCAAAGCGGAATTGAGGTAGCTCAAGAGAGACACGAGATGTGCAAATCTAGAGCCATCTTCACCCCAAATGTTCATATGGACTATTTGTGTCCGCCCTGTGGTAAAGCCTTCCAAGCTGGTATTGGTCTGATCAGCCACAGTAGGACACAGTATACCTCGACCCTGACGTAGTGATGTCACTTTAGTCCTTTTGGAGAACGAAGGACAACCAACCAACCAACCCACCTTAGGCAAGTAATGTGCTGTGTTAAGTACAGTTAATATGAACAAGGAGTGTGGAGACGAAGGTTTTAGTACCCATTTTGACACTAATTACCCATATGGTCTTTGGCACTTCATTTCCCCCTTTGGGTCTATTTCACCTTCTGTCAAATGATCAAGAATTGGACTAGAATAACAAACTGGCAAAGCTGGAGGGTATAATTCAAGATATTTATTAACAGAGCACTATATAGGCCAGAGGAGTAAGGGTGGGGGAAAATACTCCATAAGGTGGTCCTTATTCTTATGCAGGGTTCTGGCCAAATTAAAGGGGAATGGAAAAGGGAGAAGGAAACAAGCATTTATTAAACGCTTACTATGTGTGAGGTGATGCAGTGGGTAGATCACTGGGCCTGGAGTCAGGAAGACTCATCTCCCTGAGTTCAAACTGGCCTCAGATACTTATTAGCTGGGTGACTCTGGGCAAGTCACTTCACCCTATTTGCCTCAGTTCCTCATTTGTAAAATGATCTGGAGAAGGAAATGGCAAACCACTGCAGGATCTTTGCCAAGAAAACCCCAAGCAGGATCACAAAGAGTCAAACACAACTGAAGGGACTAAACAGCAACATAATGTGCCAGGCACTGTGCTAAGAATTTTATAGATTAAGACATCTCCAAGGTCTCACGATGGAAAATGCTATCCACATCCAAAGAAAGAACTATGGAGTTGGAATGCAGATCGAAACATACTATTTTTTTCTTCTGCTTTGTTTCCTCTTTCTGGTGGTTCCTCCTATTGGTTCTAATTCTTCCTTACAACATGACTAATATGAAAATATGTTTAACAGGAATGTATATGTATAACCTATATCAGATTGCGCGACATCTTAGGAAGGGAGGGGGACAAAAAATTTAAAACTCAAAAGCTTATGGAAGTGATTGTTGATAAATCAAAATAAATTAATAAAAAAAAAAACTTTATAAGGGGCAGCTAGGTGGCACAGTGGATAGAGCACCGATCCTGAAGTCAGGAGGACCTGAGTTCAAATCTGGCCTCAGACCAAACACTTGACACGTACTAGCTGTGTGACCTTGGGCAAGTCACTTAACCCCGATTGCTTCACTAAAAAACAAAACAAAACAAAAAACTTTATAGATATCACATTTTAAAGGGTATATGATACATACATATAAAGGTAACTATGATACAAGACAGTACACAAAAGTATTACAGAGGCACAAAATACAGTAGCTTCAAGGTGGTCAGGAACAAACCTGAACGAAGCTTTTCCCCTTGCCTGGAATTGACTCTCTGCACTCCTCGCACCAGACAGTCTGGGTTTACATCTTGGCTTGACCAACCACCTGACCTGGGTGACCCTGCACAAGTTACTTAACCTTGACAAATCTCAGTCTCTTCATCTGAAAAATGAAGAGGCTGAATAAGATGAGGTCCCTGCCGGCTCGATGAGATGCCACTTCTCCCATGAAGATTCCCTGGCAAACTTCTCATTCCATTTTCCCTGGGCCTCTCCTTGACACTTACCCACTCGGTCAGTTCTGAGGGTATACGTCTTTCCCATTAGACTGTAAACTCTTCAGGAAAGTTTATGTCCTGCTGTTGTCTTTCTCCTCAGTGCTTAGCACTGTCCCCCAAGCCTAGCAGTAGATTGATTGAATAAAATTATGTGAACAAAGATGTTTATGGGAGGGAGAATCAGGAAGAGGCCTTTGACCTTATGCTATCATTTGATCTAAACCCCTCCTTTTACTGAAGATGAAACTGGGTTAGAGAGTAGGTGGCTTGTAAAAGGTCACATCATGAAGTCCAGGTCCATTTTTCAATGGGTCTGTGGAATTCTGTTATCCCATGGGAGAGGAGGAGGAGAATAAAGCCTCCATTTTTTCCTGCCACTTCCCCTAGTTAAGGGAATTATTAGAGAAATGATAAGCACTAATTAGTGCTCATCAGTGAGAGAGAGGAGGAGGGAAGAGCCCAGGAGAAGACCTCTGGGAGGCTCACCTCAATCCAAAATTTCATTTTTGGTGGAAATACACTGTGGTGTTGGTTAGTGTCCAGCTTGTCTCTTTATCTCTAGTTCTTCTGTCTAGACCTGTCTAGAATACTATCCTGGTATGCCAGGACTTCTGCCTGCTTGTGTGCCAAGATATCAAGTCACCAGGAGCACAGGGTTGAATTATTTAAGAAAATGGAACACCTCAGTCACATCTTAAGGTTAGCATTTGGACAGCTCTTTGGAAGTTACCCAACAGCTTTTCCACAAAGTCCACCTTGGGAATATGTTGTGATGGGAACACTAGATTTGGAGTCAGATGACCAAAGTTTAATTTCATCTTGACCACTTAGTTGTAGGCTACCCAACAAGCATTTATTAAGCACCTATTTTCGAGTCACTGTGGCCTTATCATTTGGACAAGAGCCTTTTCCCCTCCCTGCACCTCAGTTTCCTCATTTGTAAAATGTGAGTGGTCAGATTAGATGATAGCTAGAGTCCCTCCTGCTAGTTCCTGGTACTGTGATCCTACAACCTCATTTTCCCCCCTCCCTTTCCCCTAAAAGCCCTGCTTCTAGCTGTCCCCCATGAGCAGAAGGCTTTCCTTCCTCTGCTCTGACTACTGACCTCTCGGGCTTTCTTTAAGATCCAACTAAAATTCCATCTTTGGCTGGAAACCTTCCCCAATCCCTCAATTCTAGTGCCTTCCCTCTGTTATTTCCTATTCATTCTCTGTATAGTTGTGTTGTTGTTGCTGCTGAGTTGTGTCCAACTCCTCTCAAAGTTGCGGACTATATCATCCATGGGGTTTTCTTTCCAAAGATAATGGAGTGCTTTGCCATTTCCTTCTCCAGTAGACTACCGGCAAACAGGTTAAGTGACTTGCTCTGGGTCACACAGTGGTTAAGTGTCTGAGGTCGATTTTGAACCCAAATCTTCCCGACCCTAGGCCCAGTGCCTTATGTATTGAGCCATCAACCCTGCCCTATATATTTGTATACAGCTCGCTCTGTACGTATTTGTTTACACGCTGCCTCTCTCGTCAGATTGTAAGCTCCTGGAGGTCAGGCACTGTCTTTAGCCTCTTTTTGTAACCCCGGAGCTTAGCACAGAGCCTGGCACCATAGTAGGCACTTAATCAGTGCTTACTGATTGACAGATTGGGGCGCCTAGGCCCCAGCCCTTGGGGCAGTCCTTACCTGCCTCCTGAACGGGGAGCCGGAGCCTGCGGATACGGCAGCGTCCGGGCAGCCAGTTCCCCTGCGAATCGAGCCAAGGGCGGCCCGAGTACATGCGGAGGAACCGCTCGGCCTGGGCCGGCCCCCGCACTGAGATCACGCAGCAGCAGGTGGCAGGAGGGTCTGGGGCTGAGGACTGAGCGGAAGCCGCAGCCGCCTCGGAGGACAGGGCCGGAGCGGCCGGGGCTGGGAAATGAGCAGGATCGCAGGCCGGGGCTGCGGTGACTGGGACCGGGGCCCGTTCTGGGGCCAGGGCCCGCTCAGGGCGGTGCCGATAGTGGAAGCAGAAGAAGCCGGCGTCGCAGCCGCCGCGCTGCTCCCGGAATTGGCTGAAGTAGTTCCTCAGCTGGGCCGAGCGCAGGCCCGTGGGGATCCCGCTCACCACCAGGTACACCGGAGCCGAGGGTTCAGACGCCACCTCGGCCACACTGGGCGCCGCCATCTTGGGCGGTCACATGACATAGGCTCAGGCTCTCGCGAGAGGCGGTGGTGGTGCTGAGAGGATGATGGCCCAGAGATGAGGTTACGTCAGTTCCTTGACCGCGGAATCCGCGGATCCATAGCCCAGCAGCCCAGGATGCGGTCAAGGTCTGGACTGGAGCGCCGCCTGGAGGCCAGGAAACCACGTCGGAGGAAGCGGCTCCACAGACTCCTGGAAAATCTTTTCCTTATATGTCCAATGCGCTCACAATCTTAACACAAACGCCCCGCCCCCACCAGTGACCTGCTAGACTCGCGCGCGGGGTCGCGGGGCAGAGACGGGACGTTGGTTTTGTTGTTGTTGTCATTTTTACTCCAGCACTGGCGGAACACCTGACACGTGGGTTCCCAGAAAGCTGGAACTGAGGGGCACTTCGCTGGTCAGCAGCCACTCACACCTTTAGGGAACTCGTCGAACCCCCACCAATGTGTTTCTTTTGAGTAGGCTCCCGGAGAAAATGAGTTCTAAGCAAAAGATATTTAATCGACCACGTAGCCCAAACAAGTGCCAAGAAAGGTTCTCTAGAGACATGGGATTAGGGTGCGGAAGTCGGAAAATACCTTCCCGGGGTTTACCACCCATCAGCAGGGAAGCACACACACCAAAGAAACAAGCTAGGTAGTGGAGTAGATCAAGTGAGGGACTTGGAGTTAGGGAGACCCAGATTCAAATCCTGTTCCAAAAGGAAGTATTGTGATCTTAGTCCTTATTTAGTGGATTTCACCCTCAGTTTTCTCATTGGGTAAATGAGAGTAATATTACCTGCAGCCCTTATTTAACAAGTTTGTATATATATGTATGTATATATATATATGTATATATGTATATATATGTAAAATGCTTTTGAGAATCTAAAAGCACTTTATAAATGTCAGTGATACTGATGATCAAGGAGTGGCGCATGCATAGTGCCTCTGAAGCTAGTCAGCTTAAAAGCTTGAATAATTGAGGTGCAGGAGAACAGTACTAACTCTGGAAGGAGGTCCTGAGTTCCCAACCCATCTGTGCGTGATACTACCTCTGTGACCTTAGGTAAGTCACCTATCCTCAGTTTTCACATCTGTAAAATGGAGTTGAACTAAATGGCCTCTTTTCATGTCTTCCAGCTCTAGATCTATAATCCTGTGTTTGAGTAATGAATGTGCTGTTCTTTGTTGGGTATCAGTACTGAATTGTTTCTGCTGCCATCTGCTGGTCATTTAACTAGGTTTTTTGTTTGTTTGTTTGTTGTTTGGTAAGGCAATTGGGGTTAAGTGTCTTGGCCAGAGTCACACGGTTAGTGAGTGTTGTATGTCTGAGGCCATACTTAGGTCCTCCTGACTCCAGGGCCAGCGCTCTATCCAGTGTGCCACCTAGCTGCCCCATGAGTTTGTTTTTTTAGAAAAAGTTTTTATACTGTCCCCCCCTCCTTTTCCCCACAACAGGTCCATAGTTCATAGAGTTCGTGGGGGGGGTGTTCCGTGAACTTGGTTGAGAATACATATTTTAAATATAACTGCTTTCTTTTGTAATCATGTGTATTTTATTTTACATTTTAAAACATTCTGAGTAGGGGTACATAGGTTTTATTAGACTACCAAAGGGTTCCATGTCAGAAAAAAGTTTAAGAACCCCAGCTCTAAGAGGAAGGGGTGGTCTGCCAATTTTTCATCTTACAGTCTCAGGCTATGTCTTTAGATGTATATTATGACTTGTACCCCAGTAGGCAGCACCCACAGCCATTAGCTGAAGCAATCACTAGGTATTTTAAAGTCTAAAATTTTAGTCTAAAGTTCAAATTTTTTTTTCTTGCTAGGGGCTCTTAGTCCAAACTCTAATCAGTTATGGATTCTAGTTTCTTTTAACTCCTATCAAACCCTTGAGTCACTAGATTTAGTGCCTTTCCTGTCATTCTAGGGACTTCACTTCAGCAGAGTGGGTCAAGGCTGAAATTCTTTTCAAGCCTCATAACAGCAGTGATCACCCAGCAAATCAACTAGGAATTAAGACTGCCCAGAAGTGCAGCTGGTGGAGCTGGCCCCGGGGCCCAAAGCCGTTTTCTCCTTACATTGTGGTGTTATTCATACCATCTTGTAGACCCTTCTGCCGCAGTCAGAGCTGCCTCCCCGATGCCTTCTCCTTCATCCTCAAAAACAGAAATTCTCAAACCAATTTCCTCTTGGCCTCTTTCTCTAATAGGACCCTAAGGAACTGAATGGCAAAATTAGTGAAATTTTGGCCTAAAGACAGTCTGGGTTCTTACTAACAAACCCAAACCAGACATGGATGAAATTTATGTGAACATAGGGGAGACATTGCTCCCGTTTGGACCTCGTTGTCATCATCTGCCATATTGGGGGAGGGGTGTTGGACCAGATGAGCTCTAAATTAACTCTAACTTTCCACTTCTGACAGTCTATATTCTAGGGTCCCTCCTAGCCCCCACATGTGATATTCTGTGCTTTACACGATGGTTCTGATGGCAATGATGAAGATGATGAATAGAAAGATGAGGATGTTTGTTTCCCAAGGAACCCTGGAGAAACTTGACTCAGTTGTAATAACCCAAGTCTTTCTCCTCCCCTCCCTGGAGTTGCTGGTGAGTCAGTCCCCTGGCTTGGAGCTGGGGGCAATGAAGTCACTGATGAAGTAGAATCAGGCTATAAACACTGAATGAGCTGACTCTGGAGCACCTGACCCTGGCTGTGACTCAAGTCTGTCTTCCCTCCCATAAGTCTAAAAGAGACTGATGTTAAAAAAAAAAAAAATGTCTCTGGCTTGTTTCTAGAAGCCATATAGCTCGATGGGTGGTACTCAGTACATCACCTTTTCCCCCACGGCATCCTTAGTAGGAAAATCCCTGGGACCCTGGGGAATCAACAGAAGAGGAAAGCCCAGCCCTAACATGAAAAGGGAGGGAAACAATGTGACACAATTAGGAAGGAGACACAATTATATACACTCAGGCTGAATAGAGCAAACCTCATCAGTGTTGGGGTAATGGAGTATGAGTTGGGAGGGAGGAAGAATAAAGAAAACTTTGTGGGATTAGACAGGGAAGACTCCTAAAGGACAGAAGGGCTGTTAAGTAGAGTTCAGAAAGGAAGGAGGGCAATCTAGAGGAATGGTCTGTAGTTGGGAGGGACTCATTCATTTTTAGGAAGATCAGCAAGTTTGGGGCTCACAGATGGGCAGGACAAAAGCTGCTAGCTACTCTCTCCTATTCTTTTTTTTTTTTTTTTTGGCGAGGAAGTTGGGGTTAAGTGACTTGCCCAGGGTCACACAGCTAATAAGTATCAAGTGTCTGAGGCCAGATTTGAACTCAGGTCCTCCAGACTCCAGAGCCAGTGCTCTATCCACTGTGCCACCTAGTTGCCCCCAAACCCTCTCCTATTCTTGCTGAGTAAATTCCCCAAGAATGATTTTCTTGGATTGGCTAAGTTCCTGAGGGGAATGGAAAGGAATTTTCTTTCATTAATTCAAAGAGTAGACTGAATTCAAACGGTAGCAGCTGAGGGAGAAGAAAGGCAGTTTAGAAAGACAGACTTAGTTCCTGGTTGACAGGTTGGCCATTATTGTGTGTTTCAGTCATAAAAGAGCTAAGAAAGATGATCTAAAAGAGGAAAGTCCTTCAGAGAAGCTGAATTTCAGTGGAGAGCCAACAGAAAATAGCTCAGCTCAGACCAAAAGATGGCAGTACAGTGGAGAGAATAAACTAGAAGAGAGCCTTAGCAGTGTAAGATAGTGGAGAAAGCACTCTACCAAATTCCTTACCTGATACCTAAACCAGGAAGAGATAAAGCAAAGAATAAAAATGATAGACCACTATCTCTAATAAATATTGATACTAAAATATTAAAATATTAGCAAAGTTACTACAGTAATATTTATTTTTTCTTTTGGGAGGTAATCAGGGTTAAGTGACTTGCCCAGGGTCACACAGCCAGTAAATGTCTGAGGCCGATTTTTAACTTCAGGGCTGGTACTCTATTTACTGTACCACCTAGCTGCCCCTAGTAATGTATTTTTAAAAAAATTATTCAGGGGGCACCTAGGTGGCGCAGTGGATAAAACTCTGGCCTTGGACTCAGGAAGACCTGAGTTCAAGTCTAGCCTCAGACACTTGACACTTACAAGCTGTGTGACCTTGGGCAAAGTCACTTAACCCTGATTGCCTCACCAAAAATAAAGAAATAAAAAAATAAAAGAGATTAAAAAAAATTATTCACTGTTACTGGGTTAGCTTTATGTCAAGATCAAAAGAATAGTTCATCAGCCAGTCAATAAACACTTAAATAAGTCCCAACCATATTCCAAGCAGCTAGGTGGTATAGTGGAAAGATTGCTGGGCCTGGAGTCAGGAAGACCTGACTTCAAATCTGGCCTCGGACACTTCCTACCTGTCTGACCCTGGGCAAGTCTCTTAACCTTTGTTTGCCTTACTCCACTGGAGAAGGAAATAGCAAACTGCCCCAGTATCTTTGCCAAGAAGACCTCATAAACAGTCTTGGTGTCATAGGTCCATGGGGTCACAAAGAATCAGACATGATTGAACAACTGAACAACAACAAATATGCTAAGCATTGTGCTAAGTTCCAGGGATTCAAAGAAAGGCAAAAGCCTCTGCCCTCAAGGAGCTCACAATCTCATAGGCGAATAATTGCATACAAACAAGTTATGTAAATGAAAAATTGGGAACAATCAACAGAGTGAGTGCATTAGAATTAAGGGGGATGTAGAAAGGCTTCTGATAGATGGTGAGATTTTTAGCTAGGACTTGAAGGAAGCTAGAAAAGCCAGGAGGTGGATATGGGGGAGCGCATTCTAAGCATGGAAGACAGCCATGTTTGAAGGACCTTGTTTAAGCACCAACCAGGAGACCAGTGTTACTGGAACATGGAGTGAGTAAGAACATATACCATACATCATAGAACGGTAAGTCAGAACACTAGTATAGTGGAGATGAGGAGGTGGGGCCAGGT